AAGTAGGATTTAAGCATGTCATTTTTTTTTAGATTATACTCATGAGATATATTTTAAATCATTTCCAATGAACGAGAATATTCACGTTGGTGAATTAAATGCTTTTCATAAATTAAATCTTCATTTGACTATGATTTATTAAAAAAATTATGGAAATATAGGCGGATTAGTATCAGTGAAAGATATTTACATCACTGTATCTCATTTGGGCTTGAGGACAACATAATCCATAGAATATATAATAATGTTCATTAAAACAGAGATATACAGTTATACAATAGGCTGAATATTACAGTTTTTCCGTTTTCTCTTAATCTTGTGAAAACATTTAGTAGGATTAGATTTTTTAAATTAGTTCTCTGAGTTAATTGGATATAAACATAAATCCAAAATGATACTAATTGAGTTTGTACTAAATATGGTGTGAGAGATCAATGATCAGTGTTATTGTATTACAGACTAAAAGAACTACGCTCAAAACATACACATAAGTTGTTGATGTAAAGAAAGGAAGGAAACGAATATGTTTCACGAATAAGTGGTTGAAATTCACATTAGTTCAGTTGATATTAATCACTCAATAAAATCATAATTGTAGTAATCAAAACTTTGAAATAGATAAAATAAATAAAAAAAAGATCATTGTTCTGTGATTTCGTAAGTAACAGCCTATCTATTGATAATTCGTAAGTGATCTATGAACTTAATTTTATTAATAATGTTACCAAAATTATATTAACAACAATAAATATTTGTGTCTATATATATTTGAGAAGATTAGTACTTTGGAACTGAGCTCGAAACTTCCAGGTCTTATTGTAACCATGATACATCGTTATCCTATTCACGATTTAATGTTATCTTCAACCAACTTTATCATAACATTATTAAACTAAATAGATAGATAAAAGTGATCAATAGTAGTAATGATTCCTTGATATCTAATTGGACAGTGTTTTCCTCTTTGAAAAGATAAATTATTTTTTGTGAATAGTGCTTATCATAGCCGTAAGGTTTATTTTACTCTCCAAGAAAACTAATTCGGTGTATACCAAATAAATAGTTCCAATATTATTCTTGTCATGCAGTTACAAATAATCCTTTAATTTTCATAATTGTTCTGCATTATCACATAAATTTTCCTAAAGAATTTAATGGATTAAAAGTAACAACCGATTATGTAAGAAAACAGGTTTTTCAGATGAAGGGTGTCAGAGTTAATCACTCATTTGAGGTTAATTAAACTGTAGTCAGATGGAAATGACAAATCATTATCACATATAACAGGTTAACATTAAGATAAACAGTTGAACTGGTCTCTTTCAACTATAGAAACTAGTAATAATGCAATACTGGATCGTTGCATAATTTGGATTTTAATCTACACTTATTTTGAGCTTATCCTTTTATGCTTGTACAAAGCTTTGAATGAATGTGATTAAAATTAATGAGGAGCCCGAGAACATGTGTTCTCTTTTCCGGAGAGTACCTGAAAATATGCCTAGAAAAGCACATTCTGTTCAGTTTAAACAATTTATTCCAGAAGAAAAGGTCAACTGTTCAATAAATGATGGAGATTATGCTTTTGCATAAATATGAATCATCTTTATATATTTTATTCCTAATAATCATTCACTGAAGGATCATTTGTTTTCGTTGTTGTAGCATCATTACATAGTGCTGCTCATTTAAAAAAAACATTTCAGGCCTTCTTTGCATAATTTTTTTTGCTACTAATTTACACTAGTCACATTGAAACCTTATCCTGCATATGGTCGTAATCTGAAATGTTTGATGCACCAGTTAACGTGAGTTACAGAAGTAGGTCAATTAGAGTTAGACATTAACACCGTCGGATGCTGGCCTAGTGGTCCGATGGTTAGGCGTTCGCGCACTGCCGAAGGTCCTGGGTTCGAATCCTGCGAGGTGCAGGAGTCGTGGATGCACACTGCTGATGAGTCCCATACCAGAACGAAAGGCCTGTCCAGTGCTTCCAGGTTTCTAAAGGTGTTCTAACAATGAATGGTTGATGATTTCAAATGTGTAAACAGTTACAGAATTACCAAAACCAAAATTTATTCAATTATATCTAAAAATAATCATTATCGTAACGAAATTTATTTTATTGCTTATCATTCAACTGTTATATTATTGAATAATTTAACTTGATACATGAGAACAATTTCAAACTAGTTCAAAGTACTTAACAACTGGAAAATATTGTAAAAACAACTTTCAAATTTAACACATAAACAAACTGTCAAACTGATCCACCTAATTTTAACCATCATATGACATTCAGGTACACTAGTAAATTAAAGTAATGTTTAAATGAATTATGCATGTTATCCAATGTGTACTATCATAGATAATATTTTTCATGCATCCATTGACTATAATGAAATATCTTTCATTTGTCCTTTGTAAAATATGATTCTACTGGATTACGAAGGTGTCTTGTGACGATTATTGATGATTAAATGTCAATTATAATAAATGTCATCGTACACAAATAATTTTTAACGAGGAAAAAAATATCTCTATGTGGGATTGATTTTCTTTTTGTAAAAACAATAATTGTAGTATATATATATATATTTATATTCCTGAATTTGAAACTAAATATATTTAATAACTGGAAATGCTTTTTAGCGGTTGCTCCTGTGACTTTCATCTGGAAATATTTTTCATCATGAATGGATAACCCAAATGGTATATCCAAATTACAGATGTAACATTTATTTCTACTGGCAAAAATAACTGTTTTTTTTGAAACCATGAATCGATCGATGTTAGACCACCAGTAGAAACCTGGAAGCACTGGACGGCTGTTTTGTCCTGGTATGGGACTCCTCAGCACAATGCCGAAGGTCCCGGGTTTGAATCCTGGGTGGTGCAGGAGTCGTGGGTGCGCACTTTTGAAGAGTCCCATACCGGGACGAAACGACCGTCCAGTGCTTCCAGGTTTCTAATGGTGGTCTAACATTGATCGATTCATCGTTTCAAAAATGTGTAACTTAAAAATCTTCACAACCCCGTTATGCAAAAATAACTGTCCGAAACTCTTATTTTCTATCTATCGACCTAATCTACCCATATTTAGTTAAGGATTAGATAGTAAATTCATATGGACCAGGAATTCTTGTAGGTTAGTCGCAACAAACAGTATCACATTCATGGTTTCTACATATTTATAATCTTATTTGATTGACTGTTTTCAGTTGGAAAATTATTACTTATCGCTCAGTACTAGACAACTGTTTTATTATGTAGTGTCCCCTATTTGAATCGTTCATTTACTGTCAAAATAGGGATTCAATCACTGTCAAGGTTGTGAATGCACAATTCGAAGAAATCTGTTGTTAGGACAAAACGACTATCATGTTCATCCTGTTTTTCAGTACTTTTGTAAATACAATCGTTTTGGGCTGCAAAACAACCAGTTTAGCTATCTAATTACCTCTGTACAGTTCTTACCAGTTAGCTGCTTCCTTATTGCACACTTTATAAAGCTAACCGAAAAAGGATATGAAATAAATGTATACCTTATTTAAAAAATTCATAAATTTATTAAATAATTTTAATTTTGATTATTATCTAGCAAAAATCCTTATAAACACAAAACAGATTTGATTGGGACTAACGGGTACATTTGATCGTTTATAGTACCATGTTATTATTATTCAGCTTCTGAGAATATTTTACGATTTCTATACAACCATAATGACTTCTTGACCCAATATACAATTATTAAATCCACTTTGGCGTACTGAAAACAACCGTAAAAGTTAAATTTTTTACTTAAACTACTGTGAGTAGTACAAATATTATTCAGAAATTAGCAGAAAAATTTTTAGCAACATTCAGCACATCATGAAATTTATTTTATGCCATTTTTGAACTTGGTCAGTGTAATTTATTGATCGTTAATTGAGCTTTTTAAAAATGCGTTGATTTTATAATGTTAGTTTACAAAATATTTGTAAAATTTCAATTGCTCTACATTGGGTACTGACAATTTTGTGATTGTCAGAATAGAAAGAAGTGCATAAGTTAGGTGGGGTTATCTAATTACAATTTAGAGGTCTATGTAGGTGTATTATTCAGACAGAGTGATGTCTTTTAAAATCCCAGATGATAGCATGCATCGCGTAATCAGTTGATAAACCTAACAAATACCATTGTCAACTAATTCAATGAACTTCCGCGACCACATCGATTAATGAACTGAAACCAGCCTAAAGCATAATAAAAATATCAAGACAGGCAAAGCGGTGGTTTCTTTCCAGTTAATATCTTTTTGATCACTTATATCCATAATGTCAAACTAGTTATGCCAATTATTATGGATTTATGCATGTATCATAAAATATTTGTTTATTTAATCTGTCTGAATAGAGAAATATATAGAAAAGTGCAATTAAATCAGTCAGTGCAGAGTAACATATTTGATACTCAGACATAAAAGACTATTTTAAATTGTACACTTTCTCTATCTGTCATAATCAATGTATACTTTCAGTGTTTATATTTTCCTAACTACTCAGTCAGAAGTAGATGTGCTACTGTTAATGAAATAAAAATTTCTTACTCTTATATTAATATGTGTGTAGCTATTTTAAAACGTTGTATGGATATTTGTCGACATCTTTTCTAATTATTGTATTTATATAAGATGATCACTGGACCATTATCTTTTAATATGTAGTTGAACCCGAGTGACTTTAATGTTATTACATAATTTAGTTATGTATTAAATGAATATTTAACAAAACAGAAATGTTAGTGAATTTTTATCAGTTATCAATATCTGTCCTACTTTATTGTTATTTTCCTCAAGGTCATTTAATTCTCTTCCCACTAAATCTACTCTCTTTCAATTTGATCAAATATAAACTAACTCACTTGTGAAATTTCCTATTGGTCTATTCAGGTTGAAAGTAAGTAGAAAGAGATGGTATAAATGAAAAAAGAATGAAGCGCATCACGTGTGAACTAAACAGACAGTCTACTATTCTAACCACATTCTGAGTTAAGATAATCGATGAAGGGATCGACTTATAAGTTTACTTGTTCACAGGATAATGACATTATGTAGTGTAATGTAACATTATCTTTTTGTATACCTAGTTCAAATATTCCAAATGAACTTGAGAAAGGTAAGTTGTATTTTATAAAAAGTGAAATTTCATCAATTTTGAGTATAATTATTACCATTAGTTGATGTTAGCCATAAAACCGATGAAAACCAGAGACAACTGGAGAGCTGATTCATTTTAACTTGAACTGCATTATATTGAACCAATACTTTATTGATCCCCTTTTATCATTCATTCTCATGACAAACTATCTATAAACTTCTACAACAACTGAGAACTACATAACGTTATTAATTACTTCTGTTTTAATTATAGCATAGGATTTTCTTCCTGTTACTTGTTCTAACTAATTTATGCAGTGAAATATTGGCGAGTAATTATGATCAATACATTGACAGATTAATAAACGATGGTCAACTATTGTATGATGACTATATAAAACAGAATCCAGATTTAGAATCGACATTAGAACGCATATATTCATTAGAACATCCAATATTCCAAGAAGATTATCCAGGGAGTTATGAAATCACTGATAGACAATGGAATGCATTGTTGAATGAAATCAATCAAGTCAAATTAGGCAAACTGCAAGAAAATGATATTGATAAACCCGAATCGATTTATTCGAATTTCGAACGAAAATCTGTGGACAATGACGAACCTTATAGAAATGAGAAAAGTATTGACAACATTTTAAATGAACCAGGTTCAACGGAACGTCGAAATGAAATTGCTTATCAAAATCCACTCTGGGGTGAACATAAGGTTTCTGGGGGTTCCAGTGAAACAGGTCAGTGGATAGATTATGCTTTATTGGGAGCTGGAGCACAAGATCTACTCAATAACGATACATCATTTGACAATTTAAATCTATCTAGTGAACTGGAATCATCTCATACAGAGAGTAAAGTTGATAATTTACCCGCGTATTGTGATCCACCTAATCCGTGTCCATTAAATTATCAATCAAATGATCTACCAACACCTTGTGATCATGATATAGAAGATACCATTGAATTTAATCGACAGTGGATATTAAGCAAAATGCAAAATGGTGAATGCTCATGTGATAGTGAACATATGGATAATTGTCCAGTTGAATCAAATGAAAATGAACATAAAACGAATTTTGTATCAGCACAAAAGACAAATGGGAAGGTAAGTCGTTGGATTCTGTGAATATTTTCCCTACCATAATTCATTTTAAAATTAGTGATTGAATTTCACAAAGTACACACACTCTATTCAGAACATTTCATTAAAGAACTGACTCATATAAACTAATGATCCTGGGTTCGGTTGTTCTTTGTTTAGAAAGTTTGTACTGCTTATAAAATTCATACTGGGACCAAACATCCCCATAATATTCATTGTTTTGCAGTAGTAGTATAGTGAGATGTAACAGTAATGAATACCACTTATCGATTGTAATCGTCTCCTCAACAGTATTCAGTTATGTTTAATTCACAGGAGTAAAAACGTTAACTTGTTAGTATGAGTATTTTACTGATCAGATCAAATTTATATTCAAGTTATACGCCATTCAAAAATAGTTCGGTTATCAATCCTAAATTGCGAAAAAATTCTTAGATTCTACTAAGTAATTTATCGTCTCAATGACTTCATTACATTTCAAAGCGAGGATTTGTAATCACTTTTGACATCAAAATGTTACCAACTTATCTGCTGATTCATGCATAAACACATAATGATGATTATGATCTATGGATCACTGATTAGTGATCAATGTGCTGTTTATTCAATGCTTTTAGTGCTGATCGAATCTAACTCACCAACTGACAATGTAGACATTGATCTGAGTGGTTCTATTGTGGTGCGAGATATTTATAAGTAGTATATGACGTGATTGTAAACGTAATGTTTGGCAGCAGAAGATGGGGCAAGATCAAGAAAGGAAGAGTTAGAAAACAACGGAATTTGTATGAAACGCATGAATAGTGACAATGGATTGATGTTTGGCAACAGGAACAGTCCAGTTCGATATGATGAACTGATGTTTTGCAAATTACCGATTTACGATATGGTGTTCCGATTTTACTGAGTAACTCTGTAATTTCCGGTAAATACAATCCGGTTGCCCCACCTGTGTTCTCGTTCACTACACTATGACGTGTGTTCTACGCTGAGATGTTAGGTGGTTGGAGGTATTCAACTGGAGATCCTGAACATAGGTTTCAAGAAAATATCTCAGTCAGCTGGTACAAAACTTCTGATATGTGAACCTGCTTGATATGGAATTAAATAAGCTAGTTATCGTAAGATTACAACAAGTGGACTTTGACGACAAAAGATAATCTGAAAGAAACCAAGTCGTCGGTTTCCTGTCCACTATCTCATACTACCTAACGTCTCAATGTGCACTCATTAAACTTCAGTCAATCTTCATAATTCGATTTATTGTTTGCAAAATTATAGATTTTCTTGGTCAATCCATATCTACGAGGCGAAAGTCGTAAAAGGCTTGTTGCTAAGAAACGAGTTAAACGTTCACGGGTATGCTTGAATGTATTTATTTATATATTTTATGTTACATGATCATAGTAGATATGTTTCGATTGTATAAAATGCCAAAATACATTTCTTCAAATTGAATTCACCTCAAAAGTACTACTACATATCACGAAATTTCATTCATTTGGTAACACAAAGAATTGACCGTTTGAATAGTATCAGTTTGAAACCGATAAGATTGCATCATGTCGGTCATTAGAAATGGATTATTCCATGCTTCCTGATCATCGACTGTAACTCGTGATCATTCACAAATATATGTGGAATTGAATAACAGTACCAAAACTCCACAATCCTGAGGATATGTGACTTCCTAATTTCAATTAATTCAATTTTACTATGCTGATACTGATAAAATATGACAAAACAAGTTAACCTTGAATAGAGTTTGTGCACTCTTCAAATACTTGTTAACAGATGTAATTCATGTTACTGAGATATTTGTAAAATCTGTAGCGAGTTGAAATAAATCTATAATTCATGAAAACTAGACAAAAATAGGGAATTAGACAGTGTGAAATAATTATCTCACTCTGTATGAGGATGGTTAGTTAGTTAGTTAGTTAGATAGATAGTAGTGAAGAGACAATTTTTCTAAACAAAAACACTTGATTTTAGATTGAAACAAGTGAATAATTGATTGATTTCAAGTAATCAACAATTGGATTGTGACAAACATCTTACAGAATAGTTTATCATAACTGATTTTATTTGAAGATGAATCACCCAGAATATAGAAAAAGTGATCACACAACAAATTATGTTTGATCATTTGAAATAATGTGAACTCTAGTGGTGGGTTTGTTAACTGCGTGATTGCAATGTGCATTCGAAATGTGTTCAACAATTTTTGTCTATTTTTAAATCTATTTATGAAAATTTTATTTTACACGATTTCAGTTTTATGCCTTTATTATTAGTATTCTTATGATTTTCTTTTCAGATCTATCATTACAATCCTTATTTATTAGGTAGTGTTCATAAGACTGCAGTGAAAAAAATTGGACCATACAAACCATCAGAAGAAAAGTATATGTAGAAAAGTGGATGCGAAATTGAATTGACTGAATAGTAGAGTATTACATTATTTTATCTAAGTTCAATGTATTAGATTTGAACGTTGAACGTGTTACGCATGATAATAAATTCAATGTTTTTAATAATATATATTTGTTCGTTTTTAAACTTTCATAAACTTTGAGTTGTAGATCGTCATCAATGTGATTCAAGTTCGATCGTTCAACCTTAGAATCTTGCGAGATTGCGTCATTGATCGAAAATCTTTGTTGTATAGAGAGAATTATAATTATGAATTTAATGCTTCAAATATCAATTGGATTACGTGTATAACTGAAATTTGTGAATGAAAGTATAGATCTGATAATGTTTAAATAGACAGATATTCATTGAGTGCATATTAGTGAGACAGCATAACGTTTGTACTAATGCTTAGGAGAGGATTTTACATGTCGACTGAATGTGATCTATTCAATTGAACTGATTACCAAAGAGAGAAGAACGACGCGTCAACATTTAACACTGCAAATCGTTATGATCTATACATCTACATAGAAAGGACCTTTTGTGTAGACGAGAAATACTAGAGATACTAGCTATGTAATTGCACAATTCCATACTATACACCGAATGCATGCGGCTTTTTATATCCATCTCTGTTGAATTTATACAGGACTCATTGTGATATCAAAAGCTCAGCAGTAAGCAAGGAAATGCTTACGAGTTTATGGTTGAAATTATTTTGTACTGCATACATTGTGGATATTTGAAATAAGTAAACATTTTGTGGAGTAAATCTACACCACCTTATCATTCAACTTTTAAAGATATCACTAAAAAGTAATCAGAAATATCGTTGAATAAGAGTAAGCATTTAATGCGAATATGAATTTACTCACAACTACACGTTAGTTGAAAATACTTGAAAATTCTCTACAAGTTTTCAAACTTATTTTTGTAGAAACATAATGAATCGTGAGTGAATAGTAAGCGCAATCAATGTTTAGTGTATTGCTTTATCTTATTTGTGACTAACAACACAATCTAACCTACATCTAAGTAGAGTAGATCATTGTCAAACTTCAAACGTTTGAATATTATAATACATCAAGTTCATTGCATCACAGTAACAGCATCAACACTATGAAATAATTTTATCAATTAGCTGACAAAATCATGACAAAGACTTCATCGCGAAGTGGTTTCTAAAAACCTTACATACGTGCCGCAATTATGTCTAAAGGTCATCATCGCTCAACATAAATAAAAACACAGGGAACGGGTCGAGAAATTAGCGGTTTCACTGCATACAAACTTAACATTGATGAATGTATACGAAGCAAGAATGAGTTGCTTTTTCATAACACTTCATAATGCTAACCCAATTTATTCGGTTCGAATAGACATTGATGTGTTGACGTGACAATAGTTGATACTCATGATACAATGTGAAGAAATAAAATGGATATTGAGCATCACGTGAAGCGCAATGCCTTGTTGTATAAATCAATCAAATTTATTGAAATCTTATGTCTTTTGCATTTCACGAATGGTAGATAGTAGAGCTTAGCAACAGTCTTACTGTGAAGTCATATCACAGCAAACTTTTCACGATCTACCAGAATCAAATTATTCGCAACTACTGGACACTCATCTCATAACAGTCGGTTGTCTATGAGAAGCCTAATCACAATACAGAATGCACAGTTCTCTACAAACAGGAAACTAATAGTTATCACCACATCTCTTTGTCTCAACATCGAATTCCTCAATATGCACCATCATTGAAAAACGCAAAATATGATTACACTAATCATTTATTGAAATTCATCAACATGTTATGCAATGAATAATCGATGAATCTGAATGTAGTTTGAAATGACCGAATGTCATTTCATTTGCATTTGGAAGGACACGAACATCCACATGTACACCCAGAACATTGACATTGACCAGATGGACAATTGCATCCGCTACCTGATGTACATCCAGAACAGCATTTACAGTTTGCACCACCACAACCTGTAATTTTAATAGGAACAACATATTTCATGTTCAGCATAATTGATGTGCTTGCTTTTAATGATGTATTGTTTATTTCGGATAGAGACTAATGACACACAACAATAGACTTACCAGGCATGACTGATTATTCGCAGTATGACAAGTTAATGAATAATTTGTCCGAAATATCGTTTGCTTATATATATTTGCATTTTCTAAGCTTGTATGTGATGGACACATAGAAAAATGCACCAATAAGAATTGAGATATGTTTCACATTGCATAGTTGATTGGTTGAAATGATGAGTAGTTTGATGCTTAGAAACTGTATGAAAAATCGAGCAGATAGAAGAAACATGGAAGAATTGTTGCATTGTATTTGCTTCGCTTCTCATCATCTAGCTGCTTTACATTAGGAAACGGTACTGCTGAGATGTTCAAGTTGAAACTGACATTGTGTGAAAATGAAACGTATGGGTTGACTGATTACTGAGTGGTAGAAATTATATTGATATCTGGAATGTAGTGTTGATCAAATTAAACCGATCCACATTTAAACCAATATTGCATCGTCTAGATTGATGACCAGATTGAAACTTTGTTTGTACAACCTGATGAAAAGTTATGAAAAGAGAGCAGAAAATTAGTTTTCATTTACTGTATAAACAATTTTCCGCTAAACAGCTATTGAGGTCAAAACTCAACACATGACAGAGTTGATTAGCTTATCATTTTGTTTACTCAGCACTTGATTTATTGAATCGGCCTTCACAAGAGGAATGTATTAGAATAACAACATTTAAACCCTTATCAATCAACTAGTCAGCAGATATGTTGACTGAGTTTGGAGAAATATATATTTATTGGAAAATGCTGGATAACATACGTTACAGTGTTGCTTAACCACTTGACATATTGCGTAATTCATGTACAGAAGCAAACATTACGTACTGAATGCTTGTTTTAATTTAGATACGTTTTGGTATTGACGAACCGAACGTGTACCAGTGACATAATAATAGTACAGCTTAGTTATTCTCTGAGCCTGAGCAAAGCTAATGAGAACAAGAAGTCATCAGGCATTATTTGCAATCCACAAACTGAACAAAATCGAACGAATCAAACAGCATTCGTTTCAAGCGCAATTTGTTTAGTACAACAAGTGTATTTGAAATGGTCACAAAATAAGTCAATCAAAGAGAAAACGAACGAATTAGGTTTACGTTCGTTGCAAGTGTGAAACGTAAAATGAGTGTGATGAGAGGTGATTTAAGCGTGAATGTAAGCAATTCAAAATTCCATAAATGAATGACGAAATTGAGAAATTTACCGAGCGCTTGCTGGGAATCGAGCAACCACAACATATACAATACGCCTGACACGAAAATAACTTCTTCAACAGCAGACTTCTTTTGGAGAACTGATAGAATTTTCCGAAAATCGATAAATGTCTTTTAATTTTAACTTGGGTTCCCCAAAAGTGTGGTGTTGGTACTGACAGGGAACCAAAATGAGAAAATACTTTTGTCCTTTATAGAGTGCGATGGATTTAATTCAATTACCCAGTATTCGAACGACCATTTTTTCGAGTGCTGATTCCTTGAGATTTAGTTTGTTCTCATTCGTGAAAATTGTTAATTTCCTTTCAGTTGGACGGATAATACAGCTTAAATTCACCCAGTTGAAATTCATGCATTTCATCGCATAGGAAAGTTCGGTAACTGACAATATGACACGACTTATCTCCAACTTCCCAAGAAGAATACTCGTTAATAAGCAACTGATTTGTTGTAATCCCTTTCAATTTTACAGGGCAAATCCAAACATCCATCTGAGCTCCGCTACCCAAATTATGCCAAATGATTATCCTTACTCGTAATACATTAATTGATGAAAATCTCTGTTTTGTGGTGAAATCTGAAGCATCTTTTCCCCTTCAAATGGTCTTTCGTCGTTTTCAGTTGCAATGGTTTGGCGAATTATTGTGGGGTCGGGAATTTCCACAATTCTCATCAGGATAAATGTGATAGAAACAAAAACTGCAATAAAAATAGCGAAGTTAACGGAAGAAGTTCAAGTCAGACACTGCCCTTGGGGATTGTTGCTCTTTTACCCAGATGCTCATAACATCCTGGGATTTACCCGTTTCAGTATCCAAACAGAAATGTACAGTTAGTATACTGCAAGTCAGGTAGAAGATATTTATGTATGGGAGTGATTGGAAGAATCTAATGTTTCAAAAATGCTGCTTCTGATCAAATTGATCAAGCTGTTTCATATCGTTTTATTTATAAACACAGTCAATAAAGTTCGAGTACATGACAAAACACAGTTTGATTCATTTAGTCGACACCGGAATTTCATCATCAACCAAATGGAATCATTTATTGAGTCAATAGAATAAATTTAAACTTGGTTAGCAATTAAACCACATAAAAGCGAATTTCTGATCCACATGATAATATATATTCAAAATATAAACGAAATATCTAATGACATATGGATGTTTGTTGTCAGTGATTGCTCATCAAAAGACTATATATATGTAGGAGATTTAAAATATTTACACTCTACAAACATTGAAACAATCATTATTAGTTGTAAAATAATGAACACGATTAGCAAAATAATTAAATGCTTCAAAGAAAAAAAAGGCAGTTTTCTTATCTGAAATTTATCGTCAGATCAATTGGATATAATTATACTGTTCGCTAAAATGGAATTCACTAACTTCTTCCTAAGAGACTTCTTAACTCGAATTCAACAAATTGTCAGTTAAAAATAAATTCATTTTGTCGTTAACCTAAAATAAGAATAAACAGTTATGCTGAGTAAATTTCTCAGATTGCTTCAATTAAAAAAAATTTAAATTCGTCAATTTTGAGAAATTCACTTCTGAATTAATTTTTACACATAGTCAATGAACTATTCAACAGCTTTAGGAGATAAACATACATTTATTTGTACATGTTAAATGAAGATAATATTGAGTTTATTAATTTTGCAAACATGAATTTATCCATAACCTGTTAGATTTCATGAAAATTCTTTACAGGTTGGTTATCTGACCAGTCATGGGCTAATGTGCTCTACATAAATAACATTTCACTAGTTACATGCGGATTACTTACTTCTCTAGTTCCGTTAGTTAC